TCTAGGTCCCAACGATCTAAGTGGATTGTAGTGTCTCCACTCTCGTTCAATTTTGTGAAATGTGAGAAGTGTAAAGTAGAACTCAGAACTTGAAATGATCGGGAAGAAGAGAACATTGCATTTCCCGAGTTTTTCAAGTAAGTGTTCATATAGGGCCCTATGCCCATTTGGTTCTAAAAAGGTTTGCATGTAAGCCTGCTATCATTGAATGGCAATTTGTTAGTATATATTTTTTGAAAATTACAGTGCCGTGTCTGTTTAAACAATTTTGAATTTTCATAATAATTCTTACCCAAGTCCATGTAGACATGTACTGTGGACTATCTGTCTACATGGGCCCTATTTTGTCCTCCTCTATTTGGATATAGGCCTCAATAACCTGTTTCACATTTATTGGAGAAAAATGGAATTATCAATGGGTAATATAGGTAGCACAAATAAAAAATGCAGTGCAGTGTGTGTTATAGAATTAGTATTTTATACTTACGTTTTGTGACAGTTCCAGGTCCCATACAATATCTTTGATATCATGGTTTGTCACTTTCTCATTATGGAGTCATGCCCAAAAGCTATCACTGCGGATTCGAATACATGAAATTCACAAGATTAGTTTTAGTTTATTGTAATTAAAAGATGAAAGAGTTGTTCTTTTGGAATTGAGATATTACCGAGGTTGAGTACTTAAGTAGTATTCTTGAATTCTGTCCCTGTCCTCCTTTGGAATTTTCTGCCAAACCTTCTTTTGACCCCATCCTAGTTTTTTCTTTGTTGGCTTTTTTTGTCCTTCATCTTCATCATTTGATTCTTGCATGCCTACAGGTATTGAATCATGAAGGCTCATTCCTTTTGGGGTATCAGGAATTGGATTTGTGGCATCGGGCTGAGATGCCTCTTGTGTTAACTGCATACCACCTTCTGATTTTGAGGATCCTCTTGTGTTGATTGCTCCTCGGAAGAGATAAGCTTGAATTGTGGTAGTTCTTCATCATCCTTTTTTGCCTTCTTTTTTGGTTTCTTATTTTTTTCGTACAAATAGCAAGATGCTTGAAGCCTCTTTCTTTCTCTATTCTTCAGCCTTAGTACTCTTGAAGGAACATCAGGTATTGGAGCATCTTGCTTCTTCTCTTCTTCTTTCTCTTCTTGTTGCTTCTCTTCTTCTTTCTTGTCTTCTTCTTGCTGTTCAACTGGTTGTGTTGGTTGTGTTGTAGGCAGATCCATCTCCATTTCAAAGATTGTTGGGTATGACAACAGGCTTTGAATTTCTACCTTGTAATTTTCTTCAATCTCCTTTTTCTTGGCAATCTTCTCCGTGTCAATACAAGTTTCCTTGCCTTCCAATTCTACAATCCTCCTTTTCAGATTTTGTATTTCCTGAAGCTGAACTGTAGATTCCACTGTCATGGTGGCAGTCACATATTCTTCATTATCTAATTTCTCTACGTATGTTGCCAACTTCGCTTCCAGATCCTTTGATTTCTTTTCTCCTTGGATAAATATATCCCACAATTCGTTCATTTTCTTCTCATTGTCTTCATTTATTTCATCCTTCCACAATTGTAATCTTTCTGGGCAAACAAAGCTAGGATCTTGACGTTGGCGGTAGTTGATTTGGTCTGTCATGGACTTCACCAAGAGGTCTTGAATTGCAAGAGGTTCATTTCCAGCTTCATTCTCAAACATTTTCTTCTTTCCAGCCTCTTTTAGTTCTGGAGTTTGATTAGCATCATCAGGTTTTCTTTGGTCTTCTACTTCCTCTGCTTCTCTTTATTGTCCTTCATCATCTTCTTTTTCTTTTTACTGCATATTGAACGGAAACTAATTAGAAACTGCATTGCATTGGAGGAAACGGAAACCACAATGCATATTTCTTTGTTTAGAGATTCTTATACCTTGTCAAGAGGCTCTCCCTCTTCTCTGGTAGTTTTTCTCTTTTTATATGCTTTCAAAATACCATGTACAATGAGATTGAATGATTCAAAAACTGCATTGGATAAAATGCAAACTGCAATGTAGAAAACACAAACTGCAATGCACTGTATACAGATTTTAATTACCTTGTCAATAGTGTCTTCCTCTTCCCTGGTAGTTTTTCGCTTTTTAAGAGTTTTGAAAATACCCTGTACAATGAGAATGATTTAGCATGGATTCACATTCAAGATACATTAAAGTAGAACATGCGATAAATTGCATACCTCGATGTCATTCAAGTCCTTTATTTGGTTGAATCTTGTGTGGAGTTCCACAAGACTCCATTTAAGAATGGCAGGAGTTTCTTTCTCCTTGCCCAGGATTGGTTGTATTATGTTTGTCCTCTCACACAGTAGAAACTGCACAGTTCAAAAACAAGATATATCATAAATTAGGTTGGAAACTGCTTAGGATAAAACAGAAACTGCATTGCACTAAAGGGAAACTGCATTGCTTAAAACTCAAAATGCATTGCATAAGCCACTGTTTACTTACCAATATTAGGATAATGCAACCCGAAACAGCTCCTATAGAGGCTTCTCCTCCCTTCTTTGCTTTTGCTTTTGTGACCAAGGATTCATTCATGTAGGCTGAAACAGCTCTTGCCCAAGAATAGCTGGAAAGTGTGTCTAGATTCACACAGTGCTCAAATAATTTCCAATGCAAAGCAGATGAAGCGTTAGTAAAAAAGAATGTCATGCAGAGGTGAATCAATATTAGGCTGACCACCTCCTTGTCGTAGTCAACTTCTTCTTCTTCTTCTTCTTCAGCTTCTTTCTTTTCTTTTCCTTTGTTCGTTTTCTTCTTTTGCTCTGCCTTGGCCTTTTCTTTCTTCGGTTGGTTTGTCAAGAAAATTGTCTTTAGTAATTCTGCTTCTACCTGGGTTTTTGATGGTTTTCCCTTTTCTCCAAAGTGCCTTATTATGAAGGTAGCAGTGTACCTATCATTGACAAGTTTGATAGATTTTCCTTCATTTGGCAGTCCTAGAATCTGAGTCACTACATTGCCTGTGATCTTCAATGATTTGGTGCCAAATTTGAAGGACTTTGTATCCAGATCAAATTTCTTGAGCCACTGTACTAAGTCAAGTTCTGACTTATTCATGTTATTCATGTCAATTCTCTGGTGGTAAAACAGCTCAATCAAGTTCCAGAAGGGGATTTTCTTGAGAAGCTTTTTCTACCTTTCGTTGAGCTTATCTTTTACGTCCGTAGTGATGCTGTTGAAAGCATTGACATTGCACTGAAACTGGACATAGTCTGGGTGCTTTGCTTTCCGATCATAGTTTGGCTTTGGCTTTGGCTTTAGTTTACTCTTTTGAGCCATCATTTTGATTCTTCGCTTTGGTTGGTTTTGAGCTTCCTTCTTTTGTGGTGACATTTCTTGTGCCATTTGTGATCTGCAACAAGAAGGGATGAAAATACTATTAGGACGAGTAGAGATAAACTACAAGCAAACAGAAACTGCAATGCAGTTTGTTGTTCATTGCAATGCAGTTTGTCTTTCATTGCAATGCAAAAAACAGAATTATTTGATGCTCTTCCTCTTTTAAAATGAGCAACCCAAAAGGCAAAACATCAAACATAATAAAAATATAATAGGAGCAATCCAAAACACAAATTATAACAGAAAATATACATCAACTTGACATGAAATTGAAAGATCAGCATAGTCAAAACAAGAACTACAAAACATAACAGAAACTATAGAACAACTTGACGTGAAATGGAAAGAAGTATAAATAATTGAGTAGAAACTACAATACAGTTTCTGTTTTCTTCAGTGCAAAAAACAGATTTGATGCTCTTTTTCTTTCTTTTGTGATTTTTTGGTTTTTAGAGGTTTTCAAACTAAAACTAAACCCAAAACCTAAACTACATTGCAGAATGAAGAATGAACAGTAAGTAAAATTTCATAACCCTAAAATCGAAGGCAAATTTGTGTTAGGGGTTATTTTCTTACGATTTTTTTCCCAAGAGAGTGCTAAACCCTTCAATCGTCGTCGTTGCTGGTCGTCGCTCGTTGCTGGTCGCCGTTTCAGATTTTGGGGAATAGGTTGGAACTGCTGAAAGAGAGAATGAAGAATTGGTTTCGATCGTTGGTGTGTTCTTCGTTGGTGGTTGTCGCCGTTGATTTTCGCCGTTGGTTGCCGCCGTTGATTATCGCTGTTGGTTGTCGCTGTTGGTGGTCGAATTTTGGGGTCGGTCTCAACTCTTCGCGCGACCAATGGCTGTTGGTTTGGTTTAAAATTAAATACCGAAATTTGATAATAATAATAAATGGCATATCCTGTAATTTTAATGTTCTTTGATATGATTTTGGTAAAAGTAGGTGTTAGTTTTTTGTCTTTGGCCTCATGTTAATTAGGTAAATTGTATATCTATTTTCCAAATTACTAAACTATATAGTGTCTTAAAATGAAAGCTCCCTAAATTCTAATATCAAATTACAACTAAATATATATAATTTCTAAAAAGATTTTTCAGCCGTTTTTACCTCCCTCAACTATCATCCTAATGGAACTTAACCCTCTGACCGAATTTAGCCCCTTGCATCAAATTTTTCGAATTTCATCCACTTTTCCATCCAAAAAAGTCACATGCTTGGCACATTTAAATAAATTAATAAAGACTAAATATTTGGACAATTAAAAAAAATGAAAAAACTGCTGAATAAGAAATCCCTACCCTTTCCACGTTCCCAGCCACCACCCACCACCCATCTAGAGCTCAATCTATGATATCTCTCTCTAATTGGTCTATGGTCGCCACTAGAGACTACTCTGTCTTCCCTCCAATCAACCAAGAAATTCTCCACCTTCCATCGCAACCAATGAAGAATACCCAAACCCATCTTCGCCATCACCATCTTCTCCATCATTATCATCTTCATCTTCGTTGTTGTCTAGTTTCGATGAATCAAACTCGATTTATACGATGCCACCCAATACCCCTGCGCAGTCAAATCGGGGTTAGAGGTCAACTCTTAACTTTAGAGCATCCATAATGATGCTCTCTATTTTTTAGCTAAAATTTGGCTAAGAATATAAGAAAACTAATTTAGGAGCTCCCTAAAAAATTTCAACTACAACCATACTCCCTAATTTGGAGAGTGATAAATGCTATAACTCTTTTTTGATTAGTCCATCTCTATTAAAAAATAAAGTAAAAAATAGTTAGTATTAAATAAAGGTTTGAAATACTCATTAAATAAAACAGTATTAAATTATAGGGAGCCACTAGGAGTCATTTCTCTCTCCTCAGATTTAGGAGCTCCTAGAGGACTCCCTATTTTAGGAGGTGAATAGGGAATGTGGTTGGAGTTACATTTTTACGATTCCTCCCTAAAATTTGTCTAAGGATGTGGTTTAGGGAGCCCATTGTGGATGCTGAGTTAAATGTTACAAAACAAAAATAACGAAAAGGGAGTTCAACTCTCTAGAGTCGCTCACTAGATCAAATTACATAACACATCTACATGTTCAGAAGCTCATTGCCTCTAACTTCTAAACAACTACTCTGCACGATGAACCCCTACGCCATAAAAAAACAAAAACAAAACAAGGGAAAGATCCAACTAAACTAACAAATGTATATATCACACGCATACACTTTCTCCTTGAAAAAAAAAAAAAACTTTCTTCCACTCAAAAACAAAACCAAAAAATAAAATAAAATCATGTCATACGCATAGGCTTGAACTCTTTTTTTTTTTTTTACCGAACGTACTAATATTTAACTTTATCAAATGAAAATATTAAAAAAATTATGAATTTGATTTATGATTAGATGCTAATTGATGATGAATTTTAGTTATTAAAAATTGATTTATGACATTATGGCAATTTTTTTTTTTTTTAGTATTTTCACATTAGATTATGTGAGAACTCCAGTTTAAATCTCGCACAGAGCCCTAAAAATCTCAAAACCGGCCTTGGAAACCCATTTGTAACATCCAAGGACGGTCCCATGAACATGTTAACCTGCTATAGTCCAATGAACTTGTTAACCTAAGCAATTAGCTGGTTGACAAGAAGAAAGAACAGAGAGGAAGAAGAAAGAAAGAAAAAGGAAGAGAGGAAGAAGAAGGAAAAAGAATATGAAAAAAAATATAGGGGGAGATGATAAACAATCGGAAAAAAAGAGAGAGAGTAGAAATAGAATAAAAAAATGGGAGAGAAGAGGAAATAGAATAAAGAAACGGATGTGCGTATTGGGATGAGATATGTGTTTTTATTTTGTTTTTACTTCAATTCCTTCTAATATTTCCTAGTATATGTGTAGCTCTCCTCTGTTTCCCTTCAATCCTTTCCAAATATTTCAACAATATTATCAATAATTCCAAGATTTTTGTTTGTTTCAAATGTCAGTATATATATATTTTTTTTTAAAGTTCTAAATATGATGAAGAAAATATATTGAAAAAAGTGGGCTTATATATATATATATATATATATTTATTTATTTATTTATATTTATTTATTTATTTTATTTTATTTTTGGTAACAAACAAGGGCTTATAATTTACTCACAAAAAATAAATAAATTTAGCGTACTCCTACAAATATTCCTGACTCCACCTTTGAATTTAGCCCATGTCATTTTCAAATCCTCGGTGTGTCCCTAGTAACATCCCAAGACTTAGTACACTTACATAGTGCTCATCTTATATTTCAATATAAACTGAATCCCACCCTATCAATTTTTCCAAAAAAATATCACAAATATTACACATAACATATAAATGAGATAATACACTTGAGACTCCTCGTCTGTAACATTACACGGATCATACACTCTAATGTAGTGTGTATGCATCAACCGTGCATGCATACAAGGTGGCAACATACTAGTGCACTAACTGTTGTGTGGCTTTTCACCACAAAGACCTTCTTGCTGGCCATGGGATCATATACTCCCATAGAATAAGGGGAATCAAGGTACTCTAACCTCTACCCGCACAAAGCAACATAACCATCAATAAATAATAATAATAATAATAACGCCCAACTCCCCCTCAAGTTGGAGTGTGGATGTCAATGACACCCAACTTGCCTAGATGTGTATGAAAAATATGAGCACGTAGTGGCTTAGTAAATAAGTCTGCGACTTGCTCCCCTGTTCTGACATAGGAAGTTTTGATTTCTCCCCTTTGAACCCTCTCACGAACAGTGTGGAAATCGATCTCAATATGCTTTGTACATTCGTGATACACAGGATTTGCGACTATGTGTAAGGCGGCTTGGTTGTCACAGAATAATCTTGCCAGTTAGGGATGCTTAACATGCAAATCTTCCAATAAATATCGCAACCAAATTAATTCACAAGTAGCTATGGCCATAGACCGATACTCCGCTTCTGCGGATGAACGAGCTACTGTAACTTGCTTCTTGCTTTTCTAGGACACCAACGAGTTTCCAAGGAAGATACAATAACCAGTCACTGATCGACATGTAATGGGGCAACGAGCCCAATCTGCGTCACAGTAACCAATTAAATGTAATTCACTTTGGGAAGAAAACATCAAACCTTGTCCAGGAGCTCCTTTGAGGTATCGAAGAA